ACCAGGGATTGGAGGGTCGTGGAGAAAAGTTCAGAGGTGACTTAACATGCAGCCTCTAGAGGGGCTCTCAAGAGATCGGGAGACACATGTAACTCAACTCTTGACGGCCTGACTCATGTGGTTAGGAAATGCAGAGGGCGTGGAGAAGGGAAGTTGAAGGTGGAGGGAAGGAGGGAGGGAGGGCGGGAAGGAGAGAGGGAGGGAAGAGGGAGTGAATGCAGTGGTGCCTGGACTCGGTAGAGGACCCCACAGGTCCAGCACAGAGTGGGAGAGGGTGCTCGGAATCATTCCTTCATGCTCCTGTCACACCTCAGTCCGGCAGCGGTCACTGCTTAGCCGTGAGAGCCAAGAACCTTTAAGAAGCACGTGCTCCTGGCCTTTGCTCTTCATGCAACGGATGTCCCTAAAAATAGCCAAGGTTCTTATTAACCCTTTTCCTCTCTCACTTTTCTCTACTCACTACCCACCCACTCTCCCTTTCTGTAGACTTCAGCGTGGTGGGATGAAAGTGTTTCCTCGTTTATTTTAACTCTACGGAAGCATCTCTCTCTCCCCCAAAAGTCAGAATACGTCAACAATATTCGCCATGAGCTCAAGGCCGAGGGTGCGTCTAAACAATCAGTTAGACTAAAACAATGATCTTCCAACACATGACAACCGGTCACTAAAAGGAAGTCACCATCACCAGTACACTGGTATCTTGGTTGCTGCTCATTTCTCAAAAACTAAGCCGGTTCTGCCCTTGACATCACAAGATACTTCAAGGGTAACTGAGGAAAGTGAATGTTATCATCTGAGACTTGCCTTGGGGCTTTTATCACCTGCTCTGAGAAAAAATAAACTGGAAAAGTAAATATAGCGAAGTGTGATGGCAAGTTTCCTGCCCAGTTTCACCAGGACCTGCTGCCTCACCCTACTGACACCCAGGGGGCCTTCCTCAAGGGGTAGCCACATCCATTGATATGCTTGTTATTTAGCCAATTTATCGATGTAATTTTTATTTGCCAGAGGAGCTAGTTTTTAAATGTTATAATGCACTCGTAGGTTGAAGGCATGAAAGGAAACATTATACCTTCCTTTTAAAATCCATCAAAATTATGATTACCGGGCCTTTAAGATTTTTTGATAATGGTTGTGGTAGTAACTCCACAGTATGGGAAAGCAGACATTTTAAAACTGACAAATTAAATTTTGGGAATGAAAAAGAAAGCTTCAAGCTTAATGATCTTGATTTGGACTTCCCATCTCTACCTTACAGGTCAGAGACAAAAAGGTAAAAATACTTAATTTTTAAATGTCATTAACTTGAAAGAGTTTGTTAGGTTGCCATTAGTGTTCCTAGAAAGGTGAAATTTTCCATCAATGAGAAAATCTAAAGTCATAGATTCTTAAATCACTGATACAGATCATACAATTGTTGATGATCTAGTTATGGAAGAGTTTAATGACCCAGACATCCTATCATAGGTTGGCAATGCTATTCCTACACGGCTGGCACTGGGGTAAGGGCACCCCCCTCTCCCCACGCCAGAGTTTCTGTGCATTGTAAATACTACCTTTCCAGGCCAGGAGGGCAGCTGGGGTGAACTACCTGGTCCGTCTTCATGGATCAACCTGCTCTGTCCCAGGTCACTGTGTGCTCAGCTCCCCGGTCGTCTGTTGTCTTCCCATCTCCAGTCCCAGTCCTTCCCCACCCTTCTCTGGGCATGTACCCCCATCATTCCTTCTGCCCTCTCCTCTCTCCACTTGACAAGCAATGATATCAGCCCTCTATTCTACACCACTTTAAGTTCCAATTATTTTTTCCCCTCCAAATGCCGAACAGTTATTGGGCCAAGGCTTGCCATGCCCTCACCAGAGTTCCAGACTTCGTATTCACTGTGTAAGAGCTGTTGGTGATTTGGGCATCGAGCTTGGGGTTCCCAAACAGGCGGGTGCCGTCCTTAAACCACGTGTATGTAGGAGCCGGGTTCCCTTCTTTGTCTTGACAGCGCAGCTCCACCACGGTTCCACTCAGAACAGAACTGGGGACTTCACATGTTGGAACTCCTGGAGCCACTGAGGGACGGGAGTCAAATGGTATTGGTTATTTATAAGCCAAACAAGGATTTTAACCGCCAGGAGAGGATTGATCAGACATCTGTAAGTGAGACTGGCTACTTGTTCAAAAGACCTATGGCCTTCCTTCACGGGCACATAGCTAGACCACATTTGTCGGCTTCCTAGCTGCCTGATGGGATCATGTGCACGAGTTCTGTGCCATTTCCAGGCCTGCTCCATAAAGGCCTCCTGCACGACTCTCCATTCATTCACTCCCCCACCCCCTCCCACTACCAAGTAGGTGTCAACACCCATGGTGACCTCAGAAAGCTGTGTTTTGATGATGGCAGATCTACATTAGGTTGGGTCTCCAATAATAATCTCATCAAGTAGAACTATATGACCCCACCACTACAATCTCTGCCCCAACCATTCAGACTTGACCTCCTTGAGAAACTTCTATTATGTTAAGCCACTCGCTGAGAGTACTTTTCTGTTATAACCGCAAGCATGATGTTAGCAGACAACTATTCTTCAGATGAACAATTTCTACTTTCTCCCTCACCAATTGTTTTAATGTTTTATTACCAACTGTATTCAAAAGAAATCAAACGTGAGTGTATTTTTTCAGGCTCAGTACTCAAACTAATATTCTATTCTGGGCCGGGCTGGTGTGGCTCAGTGATAGTGTCGACCTCTGAACCAGGAAGTAGGTGACGGCTCAAT